GAAGTTAAGTCTAAAGGCTCAGTTAGATTGACTTGAACATGGTGGTGGGACTATATAGAATTACTCATTACTTCCTATTACAGCTCATCAGGAAGCACAAATGCCAGCTTGCCACACTCTCAGTGATGCTATTTTTTTTTAAAGATTTTATTTATTTTTTATTCATTTGAGAGAGAGAGAGAGTGCCTGCGAGCCAGGGAAGGAGCAGAGGGAGAGGGACAAACAGAGTTGGAACTGAGCGTGGATACAACTTGGTATCCATGCGGGGGTTGTGGGGCTGACCCCATGACCCTGAGATCATGACCTGAGCCAAAATCAAGAGTTGGACACTTAACTGACTAAGCCACCCAGCTGCCCCTCTCAGTGATGCTGTTTTAACTCAGTTAGGAGAGAAGCCTCCACATCTCTCCATCTTAGTTGTCCACTTTTCTCTTGGAAATTAACAGATAACCTGGAGAGTGGTACTTTGTCACACTGCCCATCAGCGACCAAATAAATTATTTCATCAATTTTGTAAAATGGTGATCTTCTGATTCTTTCAACACATAGCCGCCTTTATTTTTCTGTAAAAATCTAATTGCCATGGCATCATACTTTGTGTTATATTTTTCATTTGAAAAACATAAAGTAAAAGGAAGTACAAACAACAAACAAGGCTGATTTCAAAGTTAATATGCTGGTGAAAGAAAATTTCTTTCAAGGGAAATTTTCCTTTTAAGGAAGATCAGAGGCACTCTTTAAAGTATTAAAGGGAAGCTGGCTGAAATTCTCTAACTCACTTGGTTTGAGAAACTAGGCATTTTTATTTTTAAATTTTAGTGTATTTTTTTTTAAGATTTATTTATTTATTTGAGAGAGAGAGCAGGGGGAGGGGCAGAGGGAAAGGGAGAGAAAGTCTTAAGCAGACTCCGCATTGAGCGTGGAGCCCCATGTGGGGCTCAGTCTCACCTAAGAGATCATGACCTGAGTTGAAACCAAGAGTTAGAGGCTTAACCAACTGCACCACCCAGGTACCCTGATTTTAGTTTATTTTTTAATGAAGAACTAACATTTTAGAGTCCATAAATCCTCAGTTTCAAGTCTTATGTCTTCCTTACTCTGTGGTATATGCTGCAAAATTTAAGGTTTGAAATTGTTCCTTGGGGGCTTTTTTCACAGACTCTTTGCTGTCCTTTTTTTTTCCTTCCCTTTTCCTTCCCTTCCCTTCCTTTCCTTTCCCATCTCCCTCCTTTTTCTTCCTTCGTTCCTTCCTTCCTTCGTTCCTTCCTTCCTTCGTTCCTTCCTTCCTTCCTTCCTTCCTTCCTTCTTTCTTCCGAGATGTGCTTTGGAATATGTTTAGGCTAAAGAATAAAATGCCTTTTGTCATTTTAATGGAACACTTAGATTATTGCTAAGCAGCAAGTTTCATAGACACATGGCAAGAAAGTGGTCAGTTTATCATAGTCTCCTGTACAATTCTCTCAGTTCTTCAGTTTTTAAACTTCAGACCTAGTTTAATACATCAGCAGAGAGAGAATTGAAATAAAGCAGCTATTTGGTCAAGGTGATGGGAAAAGAAGAGAAGGGGTTGACATTTGTGCTCAAAAGTGTCCAGAGATGACCTGACATCTAGCCTGAACTAAATGAGATCTGGGATTTGTCTCCCTTCTTCTCCCACATTCAGATGCTGTTTTAGGTTTAGATTTTAGATTGTTATCACTGAAGTCCCATTTAACATTCATGTGGCCTGCTACCTTCTCTCTGACAATGACCCAGCTTGAAAAATAACTCACTGTCCATTGTGTAGCATATCATCCCAGCAGATAGCTCTGACTGCCAGTGTGCCAGACCCCATGCTGGACATTGGCAATTTGGAGGGCTCCAGATGGAAGTCCTGCCTCCGTGTAACTGACAACCTCATGGGGTTGAGAAACAGCACATGAATGAACAGACAGGATAATTTCCAATAGTAATGATTTTTTAAAGACAATACAACAGGATGACTTGTTGGAGGATGGCGGGGAGTTATATTACAGACAGTGACCAGGAAGGGCCACCCTAAACAAGAATTGAATAAGAAATCAGCCACGCATCTGGGAAGGTATGGGCAACTGCAAGTGCAAAGGCCCTGAGGTAGAAATGAATTTGGCATGTTGGGGTGACAAAAGGGAGGCCAATGTGGTTAGAACAAAATAAACAAGGACAGAAGTGGCAGGATGCGATCTGAGAAGTAAGCAGAGTTCTGATCATGTAGGACCTTGTGGGCCAGGCTAAGAACTTTGGAATTTGTTCTGATTGCCAGGAGAAGCCATTAGCATATTTAATATTGGCGATGACATAATGTGATTTATATATTTATTTTTTTAAGATTTATTTATTTGAGAGAGAGAGCATGAGCAGGGAGAGGGGCAGAGAGAAAGAATCTCAAGCAGACTCCCCGCTGAGTGGGGAGCCGAGGCAGGGCTCCATCTCACGACCCTGAGATCATGATCTGAGCAGAAGTCGAGCTGGACGTTTAACCAGCTGAGCCACCCAGGAGCCCATGATTTATGTTTTTGAAAAGATCATTCTGGTATCATGTAGCAAACAGATTGCAGGTAGGACAAAGTAGAGAAAAATTAGGAGCTGTTATAGTTTCATTCTGTTCTCAGTGTTCTCTCATATTCTTCTCAGACATGGAGAAGAACAGTTTTTGCTCTTTGTAAAATAAAAATTTTAGTATTTGAGAATCTCCGAAAGTGTGATGAGAGAGTGTGGTGAATAAGGGAGAAAATAGATTTTGTTTAACTACATATAATATGCCTGATTCAGTGAGACAAAGTATCTTTCATTCATTCAATCAATACTGAGTGTCTTCTCTGTGCCAAGCACTGTTCTCTGTGTCACCAAAAGATCCAGATGTGTCATCCCCTATTTAATTATTTTATAAGTTGTAATTCTAGTTAATAAACAAAAAGTTACCTGGACAAAAAGTATGTTTAACAGTTCAAAATCACCTCTTGTGTACCCCCAATCTTTACGTTCTCTACCATTTTGTCTTCTGGTCTACTCCTAATTCTGTCTTCAAATCCCAGTTCCTCGTGCTACCGTTTTTCTTCCAATGAAGTGACTCAGAATAGGAAAGTATTTTTTTAAAACTCCAAACCACTCCACACGTCTAAGTTATTGATTAGTAGTAGTAATGTTTCAAATGGCTTTCAGATCTTAATTTATGACAATTGTAAAAATGAATCCTAGAACCTTAGAACTTTTTTAAAGCACAGACGCCCCATCTTGCCATTCTCTCCCCTTCCTTCACCCTCTGCCTCCCACCTGCCCAGCAGGGTTGGGACTTGAGTGGGGAGAGTGGGATCAAGTCATACAAAAATAAATAATAATACATGTGCAGAAGCAGATCCTATCTTTAAGATTATGCTGTGTTCAACATGGATTATTTTCCACTAATTTTGATCTTTTAAAATGTTGCATTAAAATGTTATCTTTTTGACACCTCCTCAAATTTTGCATTTGAGGCAATTGCCTCTCTCATTTCACCCTAGCCCCTGTCCTGGTCCCTTGCAAATACATCCCTTTCCCCCACAACTTCTTGTAACCCAGGTGAGCCCTAGTCATATCAGTGTGTTTTGAAAAGGTTATGTGCATCTGATATAATCTCAGGTTTCGACCTGCTGCAGAAAATGAGGAAAGCTCTAATGATGTCATTTTTAGAGGTGGACCTCTAGATTGATATTGACTCTCCAGAAGGTTTTCCAGCTCCCTTTCAATAAGTAGTTCTAAGAAAAGTGTGGTGGTTATAAAAGTTTTCAAATGATGTAGGAAGCTTTTAAAGCTAATTATCCTTTTTTTCCTTGCCCTTTTTACCTCCCTTAAAGAAGAGCAGGGTTGGGGGTGGACAGAACAGAGACAGGGAGGAACAAAGACATTGACACAGTTTGAAGGTATCTTCTAGGATTGCAGTGTATGATGTTTGCTTGGAGGATGGGTAGGTTTGGGTTCATGGCTCATAGACTCATTTATATTAAAGCCTGGCTAGCAACATGAGTCTTCATGATTCAAAATTAGTTGAACATTTATGGCTTCTAGAGCACCCAGTATAGCACAGTTGAAAGGGTAACTATAATCTGTCTTCAGTGCAATCTGGGTTCCTGGTCACTTCATTTCCTCAGATTAAGACCCAGGACAGTTTAACCGTTTAGTTTTCGGTATAGAGCATTAAAATTAGAGTCACACTGTCTGGGTTCAAAACCCGGTTCTTCCCTTGGTTCCTGTGTGGATTTTGGCCTCTTTCTGAACCTCCGCTTCTTCATTTATAAAGTGATGGTAGCAATTCCTCCGTTAACATGTGCCCATGTCTATGAAATGATCTGGTATCTGGAAGGCCTGGTGTGACCGAGTATGATAGGTGTTCAATGACCCTGTGGTCCTGAATCTGTCTAAACTATGTCAAGAGTTGTTTGCACATTTATAATTGGTTTTTGTAAGGTGAGGGATCGAAGTGAGCATATCTTACTTGCCTCTTAGTTATTGGTTATATATAATATCTAAGACTTAAGTACTAATTCTTATCTCAGAAATAACATGTATATAATATCAATATTGGGGATTATATATATATAATTATATACATATATATATATATAAATATGTAACTAGCACAGTAGAATATCTTAGGGATTTAGGACATGAAAATGGACTTAACAACTCAGTTTTCTCATTCAATTGCAATCTCAATCTCAAATGAATGTCATATTTAAGACACATTGCACTGGGTGTTATACACAAACAACGAATCATGGAACACTGTGTCAAAAACAAATGATGTAATGTATGGTGATAAACATAACAATAAAAAATTAAAAAAAGACACATTGCAAAACATTAATTAGTAGAATATAGGCCATTTAATTGATTATTCTGGAAGAAATACTATTTTAAAAGAAAAACATAGCTAAATAAAAAAACAAAAATTCTTTTCGCTTTTTGTGATTAAAGTTTGAAATGTTTTTATCTTTTATCTTGAGGTACTAAATCAAACTTCTCGACTTGAAATACAACTACTAGAGAATTCATTATCAACATACAAGCTAGAGAAGCAACTTCTTCAACAGACAAATGAAATCCTAAAGATTCATGAGAAAAACAGGTGAGGATTGTCATATTCCAAATATTTACATATGTACTTATTTTTATCCTTCACCTCTCTGTCAACTCTTAAAAGATTGAGGTGGTGTGCAAAAAAAAAGGAAATATAGAGACAATTTAATATAATACAAATAATACTATTGCTTACACTCTTGAAATATTTGGTTTTTTTAACTTTTAGCACTAATTTATCAAATGTTTAGTTCAGATCCCACCATAGCCACAAGAATTGATTCTGTGACTAAATTCAGTGGCACAAAATATTGACAATTTTCAGCAGAATGACATCTATAGCAATAGAGAAAAAAAGTAGTCTCTGAAACTCTGTAACTTGAATTGTCATTCTACCTGCCCTTAAGCTTGTACAAAGCTATGAGATTGTTGAATTCAGGGATCTTGCACCAGAGAGAAGCAAATTTTATTTTTCCCAGAAAGTTATTTACCCGTAAAGCTGATTCAAGAGTTGCTCACCATCCCCTTTCCCACATTTAAAGCCATTTACTCTGGATATAATAAATTTCTTTGCTTAGTTTTATAGATGTGTTTTTTAAACTATGAATCATCTCAGGTAAGTGAAATGGGACCTAGAGATCTTGAGATGACGTATAGACTATATCATTTTGAAGTCATTGACATTCATGATGGCCAATTCAGTCAAAGCACTGACCTCTGTAGGACAAATAAATGTATTGCTTATTAACTGACGCCTGGCCATTAGGATGGCTTGAAGAGGTTTCAGTTCTTATGCATTATATTGATTTAAAGACCATTGTGTTGCTAGAAATTAGTTAAATGCCTTATGTCATTGGAACTAGAATTTCCACCATATTCCAAACCAGGAAGGCACCATGAGGACTGCTAGTACTCTTACTTTATACATGAGGGAACAGACTCAGTAGAAGTGAGTGATTTTCCAAGGTCACACAGATTGCTAGGGTTACAACTGGGAATGTAATCCAGGCTTCTTTCTTCCTAGTCCTGCTCTTTGCACTGTAGCACATGGTCTCTCAATACCACTATCTGCAACCTAAAAGGATTCCCCAACTTTACGCTAAAAGTGGCCCTTAATGACAGCAATTATAATGAAGCTTTTCCATGAAGAAGATAAACCTGGCTGTTGATTTAGAGTCTGAAAGGGGTCATGCGTGCTCTATGACTTGTATTTCTAAGTTTTACATTTATTTATCTTTGTACTGTGTCATGGGGTAAACTGTATAACTATAAATAAACTTGACAGGACTTGACCCTGAACTGGTTGCATAATGAAATGTTTTGGAATTGAAAATCCTGCTGAAAAGTACCATTTATCCCACTGCTGTTTCACAGTAACCAGACATATACATGGAACAGGTATACTTTACATCAACCGTCCCTTGGTTTTAGAGTCCCACCATGCTTTAACGTTGTTGCTAACAGTGAACATCTTGAGTTATATATTTCAAGATGATATTGTGAAAACTTTGTCTAGGAATAAATAAGTAAAATATTGTCAACTTTACCTTATTTTTAGGTTATTTGTTTTTATAATTACATAAATAACATTTTATTGGAGAAAAAGGAGAAAGTACACAAAATAAAATTAAAAATCACAGTCCTGTCACATTGAGAAAACTGCATGTGTCACTGTATATTATATGTAAATATATTTTTTATGGAAAGCTGTGTCCTCCTATCCAAGCTGTTTTGCAGCCTGTTTTCTTTGGAAATAGCTATCATTTCTCATGAATAAATATCCCTCTAATATCATTCTTAATAACTGCATGGTATTTCATTTTAAGGTGTAACCTAGGGTGGTTTCAGTCTCTCACTAAGTATGTTACCATATATGATTTATCTTTTAAAAAGTTGTCAGCATGAATCTGCATTCTTCAATTCTTCCCCTGCTGATATGTGTATTATCTCTAGGTCTGCATCTGACACTTGAGCTGTCAGGATACCATAAAAAAACCTGGGAGGACTGAAAGGTCTCACTCTTAACTACAAAAACAAATGCTGTCCTTAAGCGTCACTTGTACTCAGCTCTCGCTCTCTCTCTCTCGCTCTCTCTCTCCCTCCCCCCCACCGTGTCTCTGTCTCTCCTTCTCTTTCCCTCCTTCCTTCTCATATTCATTCTTTCTTTTGTTTTCTTTCTTCTCTTTCTTTTTTAAAAAATATATCCCCCCTACCTTATTTCCCAACCATTTTGGGTTTTTTGTTTTCCATCAATTCTTGATATGGCATCTAGTATCATTTCCTACTATGGAATTCTCACCATGACATTGTTTGTTTGTTTAAGGGAAATTGCTTAAAAGTTGTTCTCTCTGTTCCATGGGTAAAGCTGAGTGAAGGTTCACGCCCTCAAAAGAGCTCTGTCTGCTGCAGGTCAAGTAGAGGCGTCTCGTTCCAATCCCAGCACATACATGCCTTCTACTGATGATTTTTTTTCCTTTATTAAGTTCTAATTTCTAAGGAAAATTCAGGTCTTTATATATACAAGTCACAACGCTTATTGCTAGTGATAATTTTTTCAGAGTTCTAACAATTCCTCTTGCCAGAAATGTAGGTATTTCACAATGACTTCAGGGATTTAGGTTTCAACTTGAAATTTATCTCTGTGCTCATGCTGACAAAAACTTACATGCATCTTTTACTCCTCCTTTGCACCCCTTTCTTTTTTGATGCTCAAGTGTAGCATTACTTCACCTGTGGTTCCTGGGGGTATTTTTCTATCAATGTGCTGTATCTCCTGACATTGCTGTGTCTCTTTGTTATCTGTGTCTTCCTGTAGAAGGGTCCAATATGTTTAAAGAAGTGTTGGTGGAACGTTTATTCTTAAACTAGGCATATTCTTCTATGAACCACTTAGAAAAAAAGTATTTTATAAAAAACCAAGAATATCCTTTTGTGATGTACAGCATACTTTCCCTATTCTCTTTATTGTTATTGTTTATTTCCATATATGAAATGGAATTCAGGAACTCTGCCAAGCGCTTTCTAGAGCAACAAAGAAGTACTCCCCCCCCACCACCCAATACAATTTAAGTGGACAGAAGGTCAAAGTCAAGCATGAAACTGTTTATATATATTTTTAAAGAAGTTTATTGATTATCCCTACCTATTCCTTAAACGAATCTTAATCCTCCAAATGTAACAAGAAGCTATTTCTACATTTAGGCATCTCTGAAATGTAGGAACAACATGCCTTTAGTTGGCCAGGTCTGGTTTGGATCAGCTAATACACTTTGCAAAGGGGATTATCTAAATTAAGCTTTGCTTCCTCCCCATGGAATGTCAGGGGTTGTGTCTGGGTGTGTGACTTACCAGCTTTGAGTATGATGGGGCCTCAGCTGCCAAGTCGGTGAGCTGGCCCTTAGGAGGGTCCACCACTTCTTTGGCAGAACAAGGAGGAATATTTTATGGACAGGATTATGCTACACAATCATGCTGAGAGGTCCTGCTGATTTACATCCTGACAAATTAAATGCATCACTTGTAGGGTTGAAAAAGGATTTTTGGCCTCATTAGATTCACTTCTTTATCCCTTAAATGGCCAAAGGCACAAAGCAAGAATAGGATTAGCAACATTTGCTCTACTGTTTGTTTTCCTAACAATCTACTGGGGGTGACTCCAAGAAACTTCCAGTTTGCTTTCTTTAAGGAATGTTTTTTTTTCTTTTGTTGAATGCCATCCTAATGTCAAAATGGTTTTGTTTCTTACCTCAAAGAAATAGCATTTGCAAGTACAAGATCAGTAATTGGCCCATGTAATTGAAATTATCAACCAAGATCCCAAGAAATGGGAAGCATTAATATTTACATTGCACATAGGGGGTTGGATCACAAAGTGGAACATGTAATTGTCAACTTTTATTAGATTCTTTGAGTACGTTTCCTGCCAGGTCAGTTCAAGACAATAGAAGTGAGGAGAGGGACAGGGAAAGATGTCATAATGCAAATCCCTTGAGCTGAATCTTTTCACCTAAAATTTGGTGAACTGATCAAGGCACCTGCCCATCTCTGACTTAACCCCAACTTTTCCCAAGGTGGGAGCACAGCCGGGTAAAAATATATTCCAGAAGAAATTCTTCTGCCTCACCAGGGTATACAGGAAGGGCGGTGAGCATCTTACATATACAAAGATGGAGCACTTGGGCTTTCCTGATACTTGTGTTGAATATGTAGAGTGAAGATTAGGCAAATTTTCATTACCATTCAGAGTGAAGTGAAACTACCCATGTGATGGCCACTTCAACATAGTTTTATCAAAACTGTCTGCTACCTGCCTACCTAATAGGGGTGAACATCTATGCCAGGTGCTTTGCATACATTACAGCTAATCCTCCAACTAATTCTGCAAAGTATCTATTATTATTTCTATTTTATGTATAAAGAAGGTGAAGTCCACAAAGGTCAAGTTTACTTACTTGTCCATGACCAAACAGCTAGTTTATGAAAGCAAAATTAGGGTTGAAGTCCGTAATGATTCTCTGTCTTAATTATTATAAAAATATTTTTCCAGCATGATGCATCATCAAGATTAATTGATGTGGCTGTCAAGTTATCCTCTTTACACAAACAAATAGAAGTTTGAAGAAAGGAGTCGGCCAGTTGTTTTTGGCCTATTTCTATATAGATCATTATTTATTCCTGCTAATACTGAAGTAGGGAATATAAACTACTTATTTTACCTTGGGAATTCACTGAACTTATTTGACAAGCCTCATCTATCTTTTAGCTGGAGTTTATGAGAAGTTATTAAGTTAATTAATTTTAACTGATTGAAATGTGTGTAATTTCAAGATACTAAATTATACCTTACAAATTACTGTAATGGCTTCTTAAAATATTGATTTTTTAATACTTAAGTTGCCTAAAGAAATGAAAAGTTAAGTCACAGTCTTTAAATTAAAGTTCTTTTCTATTTGATAAGATCTTCACAAAATACTAAGGTAAAATCCTGCTAACTGCTAGCATTAGATTAGGCTGAATTATGTTAGTTGTGTATAGTAGGGATCAATAAAA